GGACACGTGGAGGACCCCTATTGGTGCTCCAAGATGGCTCATGAGTCATGCCCAGCTCGGATAGCCGAGATGGCCGCCACTAACGTCGACAAATGCTAAGTATGAGGGCCGAGGTGAACCTGGCCCAGGTCTGACCTACCGGGGAGCTCGGTAGGGGCCGATGTGAGCAACTGTCTGCGGCGTGATTATCGGGCGTAACTGTCGGTCCCGAGATTACCAGGTGTAACCGACGGTCCCGAGATTACCGAATGTAACCGTCGCGAGATTAGCGGGACTACCACCCATAAGTAGAGGACCTCACTCCCCGATCAGGTACGATGATTTCTGGCCTCGAACTAAACTGGGAATCCGACCTATACTGACTTGATCGTCGGAGTGCTCACCTTTTTGTGCAGGTTCGCCCAAGCGTTCAGGTCGGTCCGGAGGCCGAGTTCGAGCTGCAATCTGGAACACACTGTTGTGCACATCTTTGCATAAACATATATTATACAATATAGACTTGATTGGTAAGTTTTATGATCCGTAGAAGTTAGTATATGTAGTATAAAATATGGGTTTCATAAGTTTTAGTTTACAATAATGTAGCGAATGAGATTAGTAAACTTGTAACTTTGTGAGCAAAGATTTACATAACAAACACAGGTTTAACTTATTAAGTTTGAGTTACATCAATCTAATTCATGTGATATAAGGTTAATAGGTCGAGCTTGTGTGTGATGTACATAGTTAATTATCATTAATGACTTCAATTAACCTGAATATAGTTCAACTTGTTAAAGCATGTATCTTGATCGAAAGGTTATACAACTTATTAAGTTTGTATAACTTATTTCATTGTGAAATCAAAACACATACTACGAAAAGAGAGCTAAACATTAAGGAGGGTAATTTGGACAATATTACTATAGGCTTAATAATTTTGCATGTAAATAACATAATTGATTTAGGCTACAATGTAATGGTAATTAGCCAAAAAAAAGCAAGACTTAATTTGTACACAAAGAATTGAGTAATAATGATGAGATGTGTTCCCCATTGAAATCAAAGCAAAGGAAGTGGTATGGTGATATGAATTTGTTGGTGTGAAAATGAAACAAGAAAGCAGGCTGTTTGGTCCTCAATGGATGGCAGAAAACCCATTATAACCCTATAGAAAGGCTTCAAATGGAAGTGTGAAAATAAGAAGTTGCAAATTTGAAACATCAAATAAAGTTATATTATTCTTTTATCCACCACACTTGTAGGGTGGTGGAAGTGGAAGCCATTATTGATTGGAGCACCATTAATATATATATATAGGCCTTTTTCCACAAGCAAATTATTTGATTCATTCATCTCTATATTTGCAATAAAATCACCAACCCAATGATTTGAGTTGAAACAATTAATTACACATGCAAAAAGGTTTGTTATTATGAACATTTCTTTGTGGAGCAGATGAGTGATGTGAAGAAAATTTCAATCCTTGTCTATTTATTCATCTTCTATATTATCATTTTATATTGTCTTTTCCAAAAATCAATGTTCATTTCTGATTGTTTTTTAAAACTATGATTAAATCATCGGTAAAAATTAAGATTATTGTCTGCCATTTGAAATTATTATTCACAAACTTATAACATTTTGAAAAGTAGATCAACTTAAATTACAGTCGCGAATTAAATCAAATAAAAAAATGGCCCTTAACCATTAGACTATTCAAAATATTTACGACTACTATACAATGAACGTTTGATTGCACTCCAATTTTCCCCCTTTTCATATAAAATCTAAAGGAATTAGGGTTTGAACATGGGAAAGTTAGTTTTGTTTTTCCAAACTATAGAAACCTAATTTTGATCTTATTTTTCTAATATATCCAATACAATTTGCTCTTGTCATGCATTAAATAATAAATTATTTCCAACCAAAAGGCATAATGTTATTGTATTTAAAAAATAATAATAATCTGATCTCTGTATGCCACGAACAATGTCCATTCTCTTGCAATTTAGGGCCTTAGAAAGGATGGAAAGTGAGATTTAGAATTGGTGTATTCCTAGCTGGCTTACTAATTTGACCAATCCAGGCGCTTGATCGTTTTATTGAAGTCTTCTTTTTCACGGAAAAAAAGAAATGTCCATGATCCTAATTTAACTACAATAATGTTTCAATTTGAGAGGGCAAAGTGCTGAAAAACCCTATATTTATTAAGCATTACAGGATTATTTATTAGTATTTCTTTTATAATATATCTTTAAAATAACAGTTGACATCTACAAAAATTTAGGACCCCTTTTACCTTTCCTTTTCTGTTTTTTATTTTTTATTTTTTAAAAACAGGTTCGATAATCTATTCAATTTTCAAGTTTTTTTTTCTTTCTATAAAATTTTCATATTTTAAATATTTATTATTATTTGTCTCTCCCAAAATTTTTCATCTCTATATATTTTTATTTTTTTCTTACAAATCATTTTCATTTCTCTCTCTAAAAATTTAATATTTTGTCAAACTTTTTTTTTTGTCTTTTATAATTTTTCTCTCCTCCTAATCTATTTTTCGTTTGAAAATTATACCTTCGTTCAATTTTCTTTCACGGTAACTTTTATTTCTCTATGTATTTATTTATTTTATCTAAAAATTATATTTTGAATCTTGTTTTTATCTCTAAACTTTTTCCCTAACTTTTTATTTTTTTCTAATTTATTTATTTTTCTTTAACATATCTTTTTCTCCCAACTTTACTTTCTTTTCTCTAAAATTTTCTCTTTTTTGTCTTTAACTTCTATTTTTTTCTAAATTTTTTTATTTATCTCTCTAAAATTTATCTTCTAAAAGTTTATTTATATATCTATTTTCATGTCTCTACATTAGGGATGACAAAATTTTTTTTGTAGGATCGGGCCCGCTCCAATTTTAAGAAATGCATGTCCCAACCTCATCTCCGTTCCATTTTTCAAATAATTAATATATATTTATTACACTTTTTATATTTTTAAATTCTAAAAATAATTATAATTAATTATAAAACCGAATACTTTTTCTCGAGAACATCTCTTGGACCGAAGAACAAGGTGGAGAAGGAGACTAAAAATTTTTCAAGAGCACGAGAATGAGAGGGAACATCCTCACTCCAATCCACACCATTATCATCCCTACTCTACATAGAATTTTCTTTTCTCTAATATGTAATTTCAATTTTCTAATTTTTTAAAAACTAAAAACTAAAAATGGTTATGAAACATGTTTGATTTCATGTTTTTTAAAAATAAAAAACAAAAAATGGTTATTAACTCAGTTTTTATTTTTGAAAAACAGAAAACCAAAAACCAAAAACAGAAATCGTTATCAAACAGGCCATGAAATTTTGAACATATTTTATTTTAATATTTAGACTTTTGATTATTCTAAATGAGAGTCAAGRAAACACATAGAAAATCAATTTTAGGGAGTGACCATCCTCTGAAGTTTGAATTCATTTCCACTAAATCCTTATAATTTACCTTGACCAATAAGACAATCATGATTATTTATTTGAGCATTATTAATTCACAAAGTTTGAAAAACTTCTTTTAAATTTTTTTTTTTTTTTGAAAAACTTGGATTTTTCAAGTGATTAAGAATTGATTGAAAAAAAATGGAAATCTTTGACTTTGGGATGCATCATATATATAGATATATTTTTTCTTTCGTTTATTTAAATCCCAAATAATATATTCCACAAGACTTGTCAACATTATATACATAGACAATTAATGACAGAGAGAGACAAAAACTTGGCTTGTCACGTCATTTTTATTTTTTATATAACGTATAATGCTATATCGCTTTATTATTTCATTTTAATATTAAAAATTTACCAAAAATAAATGCAAATAAATACAATACAAAAAGCATGTGGATAGAGATATTATATTTTGATGAAAAGAGAGGCACAAAAACATGAGCTAGGGTTCATTGAAAATTATGTAAAATTTTCCATGAGGTTCCATAAATTTGAGAAAATACTTTTCTTTATTTATTTTCTTTCTGAAAATTTTGAAAGAAAATGCTTGATTGCTGTCTATAATATCCAGAAAGCCTTTGCTTTGAAAATAACTTGACCAAGTCAAATGGGCTTTAACACTTTACACCTACCTCCTTTTGGGCCACTTAGTTTGAACACTTGGCCCAACAAATTTGGAATTTGGGCCCGGACCAAATTTGGACTCAACCAAAAATTGAATTTTGAGGAGTTAAATATTCCAACAACAAAGATTATACTAATAGTCTCCATGCATTAACCTATCAAAGTAATTTAGTCATTATTCATTTAATTGGTAAAGACATCAACTTTCTAGGAATCACAATACACAGCATATAACTTCGATTAAATATTTATAATTTTTAAAATATAAATATAAATAACTTGTCACATTGGATTTTGTTGTTCTTCGTCAACAACATAGATACCCAATATTTTTTTATTCAAAATATAACAATACAACTTTATTTATAAGATATTGGCCATTAGGTATAAAAGGAGCTTTGAGTTTTTTCTTTTTTTATTTTTCTTGTAATTTTAAAAATAGTTGAGTTGGATATTTTTTTCTTCACTAATGCCCCTTTCTCCCCTTTTCTTTTTCTTTTCTTTTCTTTTAATTTTTTTTATCTATCATTTATCTCAAAAAAGAAAAACCTTTTTTTTTTAATTCTTTTATAGCCTCAGTGGAAAGCTTTGTAAGATTGTCCATATCAATCTTTTCTATTATATCGATAAAGATACACAAAGTCGGTGATCACATGGGGTGGGTGAATTATTTAAAAAGATAGGATAAATATGTCCTTGGTTTTTTCTTTTAGGTCAAAACATTTTATTTTAGAGCATTATTATTTATTTCAATTTAGTTTTTAAATATCACTAAACTTAAAAATTTAAGTTAATGGATTGAATAAATTTAATTTATATATTAGATATAGTGAGAGAGAAGTGCTCAATATTATTGAGTTTGACATATCTTATTTATCATAGTCTAAAAATTATTTAAAAAATTATTTCAATTTTTATCTTTTGTGGTTGAACACGAACCAAATTCTAACTTAAAAATTCAATACTTAATTTACTACATATGACTTCAAAAGTTAGTTTCTGCTATTGATTTATTAAATAAATGGATAAACATGTCCTCATATTAAATTTTTGCTAAATAATGTATTAAATTTAACCAAAATAATTGAGATATTTTTGTTTTGGAAAATTTTTACTATATAAATTATATAGCATATATTTAATATGTATTTTAAAATTATCACAGTTTTATAAAGTACAGTATACTTGTGGTTTTTCTTAATATATTTTATATTACATTTGAATTTGATTAGGACTATGATATTTTTATAAATTTTAATTTTTTAATTATATTTTAATGCCTCAAATTTTAATACAAAATTTAGAGACTAAAAAAAGGGTGCATAAAGATTTAATGAAATGAAACTTAAAAAATATATTATATCATAAATATTAAGTTTTTTTTAGTCCAATAATCGATTAGGATTACCTTAAAGATAGTAACAAGTATTTATGTACTGAGTTATAAGGTGAGAATTTGAATCATGGTATTAAATACCCGTCAACATATTGATATTTCCATCGATATTTTTATATATCCATAGGTTCGATATCGTTACGAGGGACAAATCGATATTTCTATAATATTACAAAAAAATCAACAAAATATGAAATAATATTAACAAAATCTTAATAATATAGACATAATATTAACATTAATTATTTTTAATTTATCTAGAAATAATGAAATAATTATTTGTTAATTTAAACCGTAGTTTTTTCTAGAAATATCGATCTGATATCAACCTCTCATCAATATTTTTATCAAATTAAAACTTCTATATTTCTACCGTAAAATTTTTGAAAAATAGATTTTTTTTTTGGTACGGAAAATAGAGATACTTAGCAACTAAGTTATATTCGTTCCACCTCACACCAAATTGGGGTAAGAATTGTTTCCGTACGGGGAAATTTGGTGTGTGCGGATTAGAAAGCTTCTTCGATCTTCACCATTGACTATTATTTGTTCAGTTTCCATTTAATTTGCATTCTGCGGATGATTCCCTATTATTCCATCACTCATACTTCACACAATCTTTAATTTCAATTTCAATTTCAATATCTTGCCCACTCAAATTCCTTCTTTCCCTTTCCATTCGATTCCCTTCTGCACCAGTTTCCCAACACTTCCGATCCTCACCCATTCATGTAATTATCACATTCCTTTGCCATCGAGCAGGGGAAATTTTCATTTCTACTGAAAATTGAAATCGTGGTTCGATTCTTCCCCCGAGTGCGAGGAATTTGGGTTTCCTGATTTGGGGTTTTGATTTCATCATCTGGGTATTGGAAATTGCTGCTGGGATGAAGATCGTGGAATTGGAAGACGCGGGGAATGATCGGGATAACGAGGTCGGTAGTGGTCAGATTGTGAAGGTCGATGCCAAGAGAGCGTTGGTTGGGGCTGGGGCTCGGATTCTGTTTTACCCTACCCTTTTGTATAACGTGCTTCGGAACAAAATGGAATCTGAATTCAGATGGTGGGATGAAGTCGATCAGGTGGGTTTGATTACATTTCTACGTTTTCTTTGTATTCTGATTTCGGCCGAAGACCAAATTGATGAAGAATTTGTTTTCATCGGAATTGAAATAATTGCCTTGGTTATCTTCTTGCTCGTATTAACTTTCTGATTCTATCTCTGAAGTTTGAAGGTGTTTTGAGTTGTTTGACTTTGAGGTTGGGATGATTTTTAGGATCAGAGACATTTATTATCTGATTATCTCCACTCTATGCTGCTTAGATGAGCCTAGTGTGTGGCTGGAGTAACCTTTTTGTGGTTGAAATTTGTATGTATGATGGATTTGAATAACTTGATAGTCAGAATCTATGGATTTGATGATCAGAATATAATAAGACTGTATTCTTCAATCACAATACTTTATGGAGTTTATGCACTGTATAAAAACCATTGATTTCAAGCAATCAAATGAATTTGTTTGTTTGTCTTTATAATTTTTTTGTTGCAGATTCATCTCTGCATTGTACTGATCAATAATTTTCCATCCGGTGTCCTGTTATTAATGCCAATGCCTTTGTTTGCCTTTCCAGTTTCTGTTGCTGGGTGCAGTGCCCTTCCCCAAAGATGTGCCGAGATTGAAGCAGCTCGGTGTTGGTGGCGTTATCACTCTCAATGAATCTTATGAAACACTAGTTCCATCTTCCTTATATTATGTGAGTCTTTTTT